TATATATATATATACACACAGTTGACAAAATATTGACTCGATTTCCTCGTGAAGAGAACGATTGGAGCAGGAGTAAGAAATGAGAAGGATACGGCAAGTTGTCATCAAGATATTTTTTTTCACTTTTTGTAAGGGTTTTTTTTAAAAATAGTGACTATTAAATTTTGTTTGAGAAGCCAATCATTTGCAGTCTCAAAAGATTTATTTTGGATTGTAATTTTTAAGGTAAATCATACTGAGTCTAGGTATTATACGAAATTCCCAACTGTCACTTAGACATCTTGTGCTCATTTGCAGTTCTTTGTCCCCGGGATGCTTTTTAAGTGAGCTACCTCGATGCTTTTAAATTCTTTTTCCTCTGTTCTCTTTAAAGTTCCATTTAAAAAAAATTGTATCCTCCTTCAACCACCAAGGATATCTATGCTTTAGTTTTATGTTCTCTTTGTATTCCCACATTTCTAGGTGTATTTGGAGTTCTTTTTGATATCTTTTGAATTTCTGTATCACATCAGTTTCATTCTGACAGCTGCAACCTCTAAAATAAGCTGTGTGATGCACTCAAACCTAAAATAAACCATTATTTGAGGGTTAGGTGCGTCATACCTGCAAATAACCTCATTTATCTAGAGAAATGTATTTAATGCTTATTGTATAAATACCAGTGTTTCAGCAGGCTTTATAATACCATCTGTCATTTCTTTTTGTACAACACATAATTCAATGTATCCCTTATTCCTTTTTTTTTTTGAGATTCAAAATTCTTGCAAATATCTTTACATACTGAGACAAGAATCTGGCTGCATTATGAAAATTATATCAAACATTATTCCAGATGAAATTTTAGTTCATGTTAAGCCAAAGAGTTTTTTAAATTATTGTTGTTGCTCAGATATGCATCAAGGTAAATTAAATCATTGGCCTCTTTCACCAACCTCATTTCAGGTGTATGTTAAAGTCATTGGAAAGTAAGAAAATAGCTGCTGTTGCTATGAGAGGAATTTCACTTTGTCTCTGGCTATGCCCTGGGGGGTTCCTCTGTCATAAAACCAGGGAGAAAGGAAAATGAAAACATAAAGTACTAATCTGAAATTGGATAAATGGCATCATTTCTGTCCTATACCTCTCGTGAAAGTTTTTTGTTTTTCTTTCCAGGTAAGTAGGTCTTAATTAGGCTGATTATTTTAGGAATGCAAATCTAGAATACAAACTATAGAAATGTTAGATTAGGAAACATTTGTTGAGTGAATACTGTGTGCCAGGCACTGTGCTAGGCTGAGGGTCCAGACAATGCGGAGATCCCAGGCGTCCATCTCCTACCAGGGATATGGACAGGCAGAGGCTCTTACAGCACTAAGGCTCAATGGAGGAGAGTCTGTGGTATATGCAGCTGCCAAGAGCAGTGCATAATTAGGCTGCTGCGAGTAGGAGGGGTCAGGAAAAGCTTTTTAAAGGGAGGTTTTACCTGAGTAACATTTTAAGAATGAGTAGGAGTTAATTATTTAGGTTGGTTTTATGGTATGCATTCCCTAAGTAGTTTAAGGCAGAACAGAAATTCTGAAATTATCTTGTCACACACAATTCTGTAGGTTGGATCAAGGATAATAGTTCATTTCTTCTCTTTTCCCTCTTTTTACAAGCATGAACACATACAAAAGCATATGTTTTATGTGTGGCTCTACTAGCTACTTTATAGTCAGAAAAATATTGTGTGCATGTGTGTTGGTATGTACAAGGGAGCCACTGGATGGTGCAAATGCCTGAACACTCACCTACAACCTAAAGCCTGGAAGTTCAAATCCACCAAAGGGTGCCTCAGGAGAAGAAAACTCTGGGGATTAACTTCTGCAATACAACAGCCATTGAACATCATATAGATTACAGTTTTATTCTGACACACTTTGGACTCCCGTCACTTGGAGTTGATGCAGAAGCAACTAGTTTTTTATATACGTATAAAATAAGATGGCAGGGATTATGTATTCAATCATCACTCGATGTAGCGAAGTCTATCTTCTAAGGCATAATTATGCATTTCTTTTCACCTGGCATGCTCTCTAAACTCAAAGAGCACGTGTTCTCAAAACCTGTGGCACTGAAATTCTATTGGCTGTGATCTGCATTCCTTTGGGACATGTTGTCTCATTTCTGTGGCAGATTTGCCTTTATTTTTAATCTCCCTAAAGTGGAGAGAAGAGAATGATAGCACACTTGTTTCACGGGCTCTCTTCAGAGGGATGGGCACTCCTAAGCCTCGCTCCAACACTTTTCCATTTCACATTTTTGGAAAAAAGATGATCAATATCCTAATGCACACATGATTTTTGTCAAATGGTGAAAATCAGTTTGTGAATATGTATGTCACTCTATGCCAGGTTAGTTTTACAAAGAAAGACAGGGTCTAACTTTGGGAAGGAATTCAATTTTCTCTAAGCCAGAATACTAGGAGGGGATTTTGATCAGAAGCCTAAAGAAACATATCCTTTTGAAAAGCCGTTGGGTTGTCTTCTTCAGTGATGTGCTTCCAGCAAGTCAATAAGAACAGGCAAATATTCATACGTAATTAATAACACACCCCTTCCTCTTTTCCTGAAAGACATTGATTTTTCTAAAATCTATCTTTCTAAGCTCTAATTAAACCAACATAATTACTTTAGGCCATAGTGTTCGATGAATTTTCTCTTATCTGACTGGTTAGTTTCCTAATGCTTTGTTTTGCCTGTTTTTTATTTATTTTATTTATAAAAAGTAAACAAAATTCATACATAACACTTGCTTGAAGTCACTACGCAGCTTAACAAAAAAGCAGTGTCACTGGCCTTGTGATGTCCAGATCCTTGGTTCCCTTCATGAGACCACACTGAGAGCTAACCAGGATGCTACGTTTACGGTGTCCTCTTCTACTTTTCCCATTTAGGTGTATACCATTAAATAATACATTGTACCATTTTGTATATTTTAGTATTACATTCTGTGAAACTGATGACAATATACTCATACTATGTGGAGTAAAAAAAGACAACAGGGTAGTTTTGACTCATACGGTGCTTTTAATTTTCTTTTATATCTTAAAATAGGTGGCTTTATTTAATGAAATCTTCATTACTCTGTAATATTCCACTGTATAAATTCATCACTATCTGTTTTCCATGGGGACAGGTTTTTTTTCAAGGTCATCTATTGCAAGCAAAACTATGATTAACACTTTAGTTCTTGTCCTCTTGTGACTGTGTGCAAGAATTTTCTAGGCAATATTGTGTAACTGTGAAATTCCCAGTTTGGAAAAATTCCCTTGAAAGTCATTTAAAAATCTGGCAAACTGATCTCCAAATCTTTGGTACTAACTTACACTCCATCAACGGCTTGTGAGAATTCTTGTACTTTATAGCATCCCCAAACCTGGCGGCATAGTAATTACGTGTTTGACTATTAACCAAAGCTTGGCAATTCAAATCCATTATCTATTCCATGGAAAGAAGAAATAGCAGTCTGCTTCCATAGAGATTTAGACCCTGTAATTTCTATAGGGCTGTTCTCTTGTGTCATATAGAGTCATTATGGGTAAGGATCCACAGTAACATGTTTATGGTTTTAATCATTTGTATTATAAGGCAGTTTCAACATTCTTGAACCTATACAATATTTTAATAGCATTTGAAACAGGATATAAAGGAAGTCATTTTAGAATGCATTTACAGTATGTATTTATATGTATGCACACATACACAGAAGGGCGAGTCCAAAAGTGTTGCTACCATGGGTCCCATTCCCCAGGTATGGGTACAGCCACACAAAGCGTGTTTAATAACGTCTGTGCAACACCGGTGGTTGCAGACCCTTGCACACCCGTTCCTTCAGTAATGCGCCGAACCTTTTAAGGTGCTATAAAGCAGACCCAGGTCCAATAGAAACCATGACTTTTGAGGCCATCTGCTGAGTCAGTTTAATTCAAGGTGGAGAGGGCAGCTCAGACAGCTATGGCAAGTGTGGGGCGGATTCTAAAGGAGTAATCTTGATAGATTCACTCCAAAGACACAGAGCCACCATGAGGGCTTCCAGGAAGATGTTTTAAGATATTTGAAAACTGTGTGGGTGAGAAAATGTGCAAGAAAGATGGGCAGAGGAATTTTCCCCATCCTGACAATACACCTCCTCATTCTTTGAGGATTGTCCTTCAAAGTAAGAGCTGTCCTACAAGTATTTCATTGGGAAGCCTTATCCCACGTAGCTCACTCTTGCCTTCTTTTTTGCCCCAAGACTCAAAGAACGTTTAAAAGGACAAGATTTGGTATCACAAGGAGACCAATATGTGTTATAAACCTAAGAGTGCAGAATTCCTTGGGGAAAGGGGTAGAGACATGGAAACATTGCCTTCAGAAATAAATCGACTTGAGTGGAGGGTATGTTAAGAGAAAACAGCTTCACATTTTGATATTTGTATTTAACATAAAGGTTTTTATGATTTTTAAGAATATATTTTCACCCTCCAGTTCCCTTTCCCATTGGATCAAAACACTGGGCTGGGTGGTCATAGGAGGAGGAAAAGAAGCATTGAAGCTGCCCCTTGGTGCTCCTCGAGCTCAGGCTCCTTTCAAACAGGGTTAAATATATATATATATATATTTTTTCACTTCCCCCCTGTGTGGCTGTTTGTGCATTTTATGTTTTTGTTAGGTCCTATCAAGATGTGCAGTGACCCTGTGCACAACAAAAAAAGAAACCACCCAGTTCGGCACCACGCTCCCAATTGTTATGTTTGAGGCCGTTGTTGCAGCCCCAGGGTCAAGCACATCCCTCTGAGAGCTTTCCTCTGTGTCACTGCCTTTCTACTTTCCCCAGCATGATGTCTTCTTCTCGGGACTGAGCTCTACTATAGCATGGCCGAAGTCCATGAGATGGAGTCTTGTCATCCTTGCGCTAAGGAGCATTCCGGCTGTACCTCTTCCAAAAAAGATTTGTTTGTTCTTTTGGCAGTTTGTGGTATTTCAAAATTCTTCACCCACACCATAATGTGAATTCCTTGATTCTTCTCCTCCAATCTTCCTTCTTCAAAGTCCAACTCTCACACACATGTGAGGCAGTTGAAAATACCATGGCTTGGGTACCTCCATCCTCAAAATGACATCCTTGCTCTTCAACACTTTATCGAAAGAGGTCTTGTGCAGTAGGTTTACCCAATGCAATATATTGTTTGATCTCCTGACTGCTGCTCCGATGAGCATTTATTGTGGATTCGAGCAAAACAAAATCCTTGACAACTTCAGTATTTTCTCTGTTTCTCATGATGTTCCCTATTGGTCCAGTTGAGAGGATTTTGACATGGACAGTCTATTCCTTCTCCATAGTCTGTCCTTAGGTTGCAAGCTCAGCTAACATCTGTTCCCAGTGGGTGACATTGCTTTTATTTTGAAACCCTAGTGAAATAACTTTCATCAACCTGTGAACCACCACAGTATGACAAACTGACAGACAAGCGGTGGGTGTGTTTGTAGACATCTATGGATTCTGTATAAGTATATGAAATTTAATTTGAGTTTCCCTAATTACCAAGCAAAATTGAGTCTCTTTCATAAATGACCAGATTGCATGTTTTGTGCATTTTCATTTCAGTTGCTTTTTTCCTCCCTTGTGTTCTTCATACATTTTGAATATTAAAACATCACCCATTCTGAGTTCCTAACATTTTTTTCCATTCTGAGATTTTCTGTCTACTTGTTATATTGGTAGCTTCTGATGACTCGTGCTTCCTGATATTTCCGTTCAGTGTAGTCCCTTGCTTTTTCATGTCTGCGTAGAGTTACCATTAACTTTTCCTTTAAAATGCACCAGAGGTAAAACTGTGTAAGTTGTAGGCCTAGACTTCAAGAAGGCCTGTTATATTTCTTTTACCTTTTTTTTCCCTGAGAGCTCTGAGCCATCAAGTGAGAAGCCACTGATCCTTGTAAAGAAGTCATCTGGTGGGAGATAAACCCTAGGATTACATGGAGAAGAAGGAAACCTAGGTACATCAGTAGCACATTTAAGCAGCCCTGTTAACCCACTAGCAGTTTGTAGCCACATAAGTGGCCGCTAATATTAGCAGAAGATGTTCAGCTAAGCCCAGCCCAGAGAGGAGACCTATAAGAAAATAAAATACCACTAACCTTTTGGGTGGTTTCATATATGATTAGATACTTGAATCATCTTAGAAAAATATTTTTTGATGGACAGAAGGTTTTTTTTCCCTAATGTCAAATTTATCAATTTATTTTTACTAGGGTTAATGCATTTTGTGTCACAAGTAAAAGGATTTTACAAATCCGAGATGATGAAGAGATTCTCCTAAATTTTCTCCTAAAGGTTTTAAAATTTGTCTTCCACATTTTGGTCTCTAATATAATAGAAATGTATCCCATATATACTATATGAGATGTGGTCCAATTATCTTTTTTTCTATAGATAATCAATTTCCTTGGAGCCATTTATTTTTTTGGTTTACCCATTCTCCATTTTCCTGAAAGGACACATATGTGGCATTTCCAGATACGCAGGGGCGCCTTTTCACATACTCCATTTGGTTTCTAATGTCCAACCTTGGGCCGAGACCAACCACACTGTTTCTTAACTTTAAGTAATTTTGATGTCCAGTAGGAAAATCACTCCTCCCTATTATTTCTTGTTTCTGTATCCTTTTCTTCTTTTGTATCCTGTATACTTACATGTATATTTTGAAATCAGTTTACTAAATTTTTCAAAAGTAGCAGTTCAGTTTGATTAAAATTGCAGTTAATTTATAGCTTAATTGAGGGGAAAATACTTATTTTACTATCTTTCCATTCATGAACATAGTTTGCAGATCCATTTTATTTATGTAAATCTTTTTACAATGTCCTCAAATTTTGATAATTTTCTTCTCAGAGTTCTGTTTCATTAAATTTATCCCTAATTCAACAACACACTGCATTCACGTCAATTCTGACTCATAGGGAGCAACCTTATAGAACTAGTAAACTATCCCTTCGGATTTCTAAGGCTATAAATCTTTATGGGAGCAGAGAGTCTCAACTTTCTCCTGCAGAGAGGCTTCTGACTTCCAAATGCCCAGCTGATAACTCATCACATTACCTGGCTTAGCTACCTTGAATTTGGGGGACTATTCTATTTTTTTTTCATTTAAGTCAACTTTATTGAGTCATACATAACAGAAAACATAGGTCCTATAATATTTATTTTGATGATTTTGTAAAAAAAAATCTGTAAATCATGGATTTACTATCCCACTTAACATAAAGAATATATTCTTTAAAATATTCACTAGTGCATTGTGATAGGTAGGTTTATTGTGCCAACCTGGGCAATAGGAGCATGTGGGGTTAATAAGATCACAGTTTGATTGGAGGGCGAAGAGATAAATGATTTGGCAAGGCCCGCCCCTCTCTCTCTTGCTCTCTGGTTGCTCTCAGACCCACATGCAGTTACTTTAGCTAATTCCATGCCTCAACTTGTGAGCTACACTACCTGTGATACAGCCAACCCATGGATCATGTTGCTAGAGCATGAGGTTCCTTCAAGACCTTCTTCTCCATGCTGCTAATGTATACATCACTTGGGCTTGAGGCTGGTGGATCCTGTCATCTTACATTGCTTGAGTTCAATAGCCCATCCTGACCTACTTTGGTAAGCTCCTGAACTTCTGACTGTTGGTGACCCTCCCTGCTGTTGGCTGTCTGTGGCCGGACTGCCTGTGTTGCACTGGGGAAGACTCAGCTGTCTGCTTCCTTACCTTGGATCCAGCAGCCCTTGTTAGTTGAAGGACTTCCAGTATATTAACTGTTTCACGGAAGTGAATTGAACTGAATCCTCTACTGCTGTGTGGAATAATTAGCTATTATCTTCCTTTGTGCTGTTATCTATCTATCTATCTATCTATCTATCTATCTATCTATCTATCTATCTATCTATCTATCTATCATCTATCTATCTTATCTACCTTATCTATCTATCATCTATCTATAATCATAAGTGTCCTGCTTTTGTTTCTATAGAGAACCCTGTCTAACACAGAGATCATCTATTGTATCCCTGGTGAGAATAGTTGGCAGGGGTAGGTGGATACTGTCTAGTTCTAGTCTCAGAATAGATGAGTCTGAGGTTCAGGTAAAAAGCCCTGGTTATACAGTGAGTTACAATTTGGGCTGCTAGCCTCAAGAAGTCAGCAGTTCAAAATCACCAGCAACTCTTAAGAAGATAAGGGAGATTTTCTACTCCAATACAGAGTTACAATCTTGGAAGCCCATGGGGGGAGTTCTACTCTATTCTATTGGGTCACTGTGAGTCAAAATTGACACTCTGACAATGAATGATATTATTTAATCAATTAGTCTAGTGGACTAGCGAAGCAAATTTATAGACAGACATAAGTGTATAAGAAAGATCTTACATACAAGAGCAATTGAATATTGAGGAAATATCCCAGCCCAGTCCAGGTCAAATCCATAAATCCGATATTAGCCCATATGTCTGGTACCACTCTATAAATTCTTCTTCAGACTCACGCAACACAATCAATGGTGCCAAATCCAGGAAGATCTCAGGCTAGTGGGTTGAAAGCCTTTTGGATCCAGTGGCAGTGGAAACATCTCAGTGCTGGCAGAGGTCTCCACATGGCTCCTTCAGCTCCAGGGCTCTAGCATAGCTCCAGGTGTCTTGTCAGCAAGCATGCCTCACAGGGAGTGAGCTTGTGTCCCACCAACTTAGTGCTTCCAAATGAGGTCATCAAGCTGCAACCTGATTGACAGCTAAACTCCATCCTTCACTCTTAAGTCTCCAATTGACAACAGATTATGTAACTACCACATGCATCTTCCCAGTTTATTCCATTATCCCTTTGATGACAAGTAACTGATAATCTGGATCCTATGAGTGAGTACTTGTCAGATTTTTAAGAAATGTATTTCATATCATGCATGTAGTTTATGTCTGGCTTTGTTTACATGTTGTTGTTAACTTCCAACTCATAATGACCAAGTGCACAAAAAGTACAAAAAAATACTGGGTACTGCACTACCCTCAAATATTTGCCCAAGTTTGAGCCTATTGTTTTAGCCATTGTGTCAATCCCTTTCCTTGATAGTCTTTTTCTTTTTCACTGATCCCCTACTTTACCAAGCATAATATGATCTTCCGGGGACTGGTTTCTCCTGATAACATTTTCAAAGGACATGAGTGTATGTCTTGACATCCTACCTTCTAAGGAGCATTCTGGTTGTACTTATTCTAAAACATATTTGTTTGTTCTTTTGGAAGTCCACAGTATTTTCAATATTCTTTGCCAATACCATTATTAAAATTCATCAATTCTTCTATAGTCTTCTGTTTTTTTGGATGCTTCTTTTTCTCTCCTTTTATCTCTCAATGATTCAATCCTTTTTATCATGGAAAAAGATTTAATTTTACAAACTTACCAAAGTTTGTCAATTCACCCACATGTCCATGAGTACTTGGATTATTCCAAAGTTGTGGTTATTGTGGAGCAAACTGGTAAGAATACTTATGTGCAAATTTTACATGAATTTTTAAAATCTTTATTCATTAAATAGCAGTGGAGTCGCCATGTGATACA